CCAACAAGTTTTGATGATAGAAGTACGCGATGACAAGAGCTAAAAGATTTCGTGGTTGTACTCAAATTTATTTGTTCAAGTATAATTAGATTCCCATCATAACAAATTGTTTCTTTTCATTAACTTGAACATCTGAGATTTGAATAAAATTAATCCTTTTGAGTATGTTCTATATATAAAAAATGATTAATGAAGCATTATTATTTATAGTTGTTTTAATTTCTTGAAATAATACTTCAAAAATATTTTTACTTTTTTTATAAATACAAATATTTTTTATAAAATAGTTTTATTTATATTAATTTAATATTAGAATTTTAATATATTAAATAAAAGAATATTCTAAATATAAGTCTACCCGTTTAAGTAAATTAACTAAGCAAAACTTTAATTATTGTAAGCTTTAAAATAAATTTTTAATTTAAAAACAGCTTTAACAATTTGCTTATAATAATAAAAATCGATGTATTGATTATTATAATTATTTTTGCATTAATTGGACTATTGAACGTTTTTTATCCATTGAATTCACATTCTTGATCTTATTGCGAGTTTTTCATTTTAATTTAAGCATAAGACTATTTTTAAATGATTTAAATAGATTTAAAAATACAACTTTAAAACATCCCAATTACACTTTGAATTTAAATTAACAATAAATATTTATAGCAAAAAAAGTTTTTCATTCATTAGTCTGCTATTTCAAATAAAATTATTTTTACTGTTATTATTTAAATAGTTATTAAATTATCCAAACTTGATTATCAAAGTGTAGATGATTATAGCAAGATAATTAAGTTATTGTTTTTTTATAAAGTTTGGCTGGACGTTTCTTTTTCTTCTTCTTCTTCCTCGCCTTAATCCCAACTATTTGGGGTAGGCCATTGGCTGGACGTTTGAAATGAAAATTAATAACAGTATTGTTAGATTTTTTTTGTTCGCGACTGAAATATTTAAACACACTTATATTTTTAAGCAAATTTAAAAAATAATAATCACAAGGAAAATCGATTTACAAAGAAACATTTTCTCAAAAGTCATGTACTATTCAATTATTCTGAAGAGACTTAATAATATATATTTGTGATGGGCTAATTGAACAAAATTTGGTTTTAATAATTATGTAAACATTTTGGGTATTAGGTAGTGGTGAAAGTAATCCTTTGGGACGAAGTCGGTTTTAACTCTTTCTGTTTATAATGCAAAAATGATTTAGGAATCCTAAAGAAATAGTTATGATTTATTTTCTTATTAATAATTTTAAAATAAGAAGTGAAAAAGTTGAAACTCACAAGTTTCAGAGGTAATTTAAACCATTTTTATCAAGTGTCTCTTAATTAACGTGTATTTAATGCCTTCTCCTAAATTCAACATTTGCTTTCGCAATCATTTAATGTCGTGCAATGTCGTAGCATCTATCGTTCATTTTAGGAGCTACAGTTGAAAATCATTCAAAAGACATAACATAACAATGCAGCACATGAGACGTGGAAGATGTTGCAAATAGTCTACTTCAGAAAATTGTATTAATCAAAAATTACAGCATTTAAATATTTTTTTTAACTACAGAAATCTCTTGTTTTTTTAAACTTATACTAGTGATTTATAGGTAATTTGTCAATGTGGCCTTTTAATAAAATATAAAACTATTTTTCCCTTTTAGATTCTTATCTACTCGTATTTCAAGCGTATTCGGTTGATAGGAAACTAATAACTTTAGCGTATAATTCCTTACTGATCGAGTGCTGTGTAACGTGAGTATGGTATATACCATATTCATTGTCTATATAGACAATGAAAATGGTCACATTTATTTGATAAGACAATTGTTGTCATTATTATTATAGACATCTATACGTGTATATATAAAAAGAAGAAATCGGGGAAAACAAAACCTTATAGGGTAACAATAAATCCTATATAAATGTCACAAAATATTTCCCTAGGGTATTTGGTATACACTCTGGTCGGATAACATCGGTTTAAGTAGATTTTATTTTCTTCCCTACGGACAGTGGCGGAAAAGTAGCTTGTTGTCACACGCGAATAGTTTGCTCACATATTATACACAATTTGTATGAAGTATAGGGGCAGCCATGGCTGAAGAGATGGTATCTCAATGACTTCTCGGTAAGCACAAAGTATAATATAATTCATTTTTTGTTCTTACACTCATAAAATTAATTAGAAATGTTTATACGATCGAACAAAATAACATATTATGTTTATTCATAGTAAAAACACATATAAAATAGTTCAAAATTCTTAAATATATTTAAGTATTGCAATGCTATCATTATACGAGTTCGAAAATTGAATGTTGTTGACATACGAGTAAAAAAACAGTTTATTTGTTTAGTAAATTTTCATCACATAATTTATGAATTAATAATTAAAATCATAAAAGTAAAATAATCTATCATATAGATAACTATTTTTTGGAGTTGTTAGTATAGTATTTTTAAAAAAGTCAAAATTAACTATTTATTTTTCGAAGTGTAAGAACATTTATTACTATGTTCTTTTCACTTATATTTTACACGTTTTATTTCCATTTACTTAATTCGTAATACATATTAATTAGCATAGATGTGCTGATGTGACAATTCTACTCGTCTGTCGCCCAGAGCTACTGACGTCGAACTAACAAAGGGAGGGCAGTTGTGTTTGAGTGGCCGTTATAGACATAGTTTTCAATACTATTACTTTTATCTTATTTATAACTTAACTTGTTTTATTCAACGACCCGTCTATCGCCAATCGTCATCATAGTCAACCAACTCTGTCTCACTTGGATATACCTACTAACCAACTGTACTAGGATTCAGCTCAGACGTATTGTACATTACATATAACTTATATTTACTGAACATCTAAAATATAACTTTACTTTGTCGTTGAGATAAAACAACAGTCTAACTTCATTATATAATCTATCTCTTGTAACTAAGGTACACGATTGCCTGTGTCTCCATCAAGTAATTAAAACTCATTTAAGGAGATAGGGACGATATTTGGACAGACGTCGGGTAGCTTCCGATTCTTAGTTTTGACCAAGATCCTCAAGTATTAAACTAGCCCCTAACAGAAGAGTTAAAATTTATAATTGAATTAATATTTTAATAGGGTTTTCAAGTACGACATAAGCACGTCTTATGTATCTTGATCAATTTTCAGGAATAGAATGATTTTCCAATTAAATTCAATTGAAAAATATATAGTTTTTATTTGATTAAACGGTGGTATTAAAAACTATTGTAAGCTCCATTCAGATTGTAAGACGTTTTTCTAAAAAACTTATAAATGCTCATGGAATAAACAAAAATAGGTGTTCAGCACTATTAAAAATTAAATTAAATTAAATAAATTTAATTTTGTTGTATCATGAAGTATTTTTTAGGGGATAATCCCTGATTAATGATTTACTATATCATTTTTTTTTCAAATTAAATATTTTACATAGTAATTTTCCATAATAGCAAATCATATTTAGAATAGATGTGTTTCCTATGTTATAAAATGATTTGTGCTCTCGTTAAATCCCTGTAGGCATAAGAGTCTTATACGANTAAAATGATTTGTGCTCTTGTTAAATCCCTGTAGGCATAAGAGTCTTATACGACTTATAAGACTACACAAAACTTCGTCTGGAGTATCATAATTTCATAACTTATTTTGTGACACGTGAAACCCTAACGGGCCTATTTATCATTAGCAGTAACTATTAGAATGTATGGTTACCCTTTAACGATCGATATGGCTATATTTTTGTCGAAATAACGAATATTTTAAAGATATTTACATTATGGCATTAATATTCAAATTTCGTATAAAATATAACAGACAGTATAAAAAAATTAATTTTTATCTGTTAAAATTATAAATTTTTAAAATGATAACACTATAAACTTTTATAGAAAAAATAGAAAAGTAAAGTTTAATTTTGTAATACAACAAACATTAGTTGCCTTAGCGGCCAGTGACGTAGCCAGGATTATTGTTTGGGATGGGTTGAGGACATTTTTTTTTAGCTTATCATATGCTTCTACTAGAAACAAACTCTCACACTGCTAATAATAATAATTGGTCTATAAAGGGAGGCTAAATCCCCTTTAGCTCTTTCTTGGCTACGCTACACTTTTTTTTTGCTCTACTAATCTTTAATCCCGACCCTTCAAGGGCTAATTTCTAAATTTTAAGCCTTTGATTAACTTTGTTCTTATTATCTCCTATTAACACTATAACACGTTTTTTCAAATCTATGAACACCATACATGGCTTTTTCTTCTCCTTATATTTTAAAAATTTTAATAATATTGATTAATAAATTTAACTTTAAGAGCTTTTGGTTATACAATATTTATCTGTGGTTATTTAGCAATTTAATAATGAATATTCCGTGAAATGTTTACTTGTATGATATTAAAATGTTTAGAAAACTACACAGTGTATAAGAATTAGAACAAAAAAAAAAAGTCAAAATCTCGAGTTATAAGGATTTACGGGACGATTATTACAATAATATATTACTATAAGAGCATAATATTATGAAACACTCATTGATAGTAACATTATTTTTACTTTTATAAAATATTAGAAGTTATTAGTTAATGGTTCAACTACTACTTAGTCTTACTACTATTTACATAATGTACAGTGAAAGAAATAGGTTAAGGTTATTATTATTCAGTTGGAGAATTAAAATTAAGTAGTGCGGTAAAAAGATGAACCTATGCAAATTTAACTAATTCATTTTTATTCAGCTTTCACGACTACTTAAAAATAGTTTTATATTCTACGGTCATAATTCATAATAATTGACGTTATAAAATGAAAAAAAACCGTAGTAAGACAATACATTAATAATTTTATTCCACCCTTGTCCCATCGCTGATTTTAATAACTGTATGCATTCAAAAGAAAATTAATTCTCTGCGATGAAAATGTCAAAAAATTAACAATTAAAATTTTTTTTTTATTTTTATTTTTTTTTAGAGTAGAAGTAATAGTAGTAGTAGTAGCAGCAGCAAATTATTTAGTAAAGTCGTTATTTATCAAAGCTATTAATTAAAAGGTAACAGAGGTAAAAATAAAGAAAATGCGGAATTGTCTTATACAACCTTTTAGTATACTTCACACAAAAGATAATATTCAGAGTAGGAATAACCTTAAACGTTAGTTCTTTTAATTATACAAAACAAAATAATCTATATGTTAATGTTTATCCTGCCAAAACTCCATACTTTGCAACTGTCCGAATATCTTATTTCTTTGATACTTAATTTCATTAAAACAGAATCTGGATAGCGTCCACGGGCATTCATATTTTATTATCTCTACTATTCGAGTACCATTTTTTGGTGTACTTAAAAACTGCATTTCAGCATGAGTATAAACTGCGAAAAAATAATTAATTACAAATTTGTATTAATGCGAAAAACAAGAAGTTAAAAATGAGACGTCATATACTTTTCCCCAGATAACGTGTAGTCTCTGGCACGATTTTGAATATTTTTATTTAAATATGTCATACATACGGCAATAAAGGTTCGCGAAACATGTTCTATGATTTGATTTTATGGCATAATGTGGTATTGAGTTTTTAAATATCACAAAATTACCCACGATTTTGTTTGTCACAAAAGGCAGTTGAGACAGATACTCCTCGTATTCCACTGTATAATTCCATTGATTTAAATTGGCAGATTCATGAGTGATTATAAATTTCATTCTTGATTATAAAAAATACATATATTAATAAAGAATATTCCTCATTAATTTACCTTTTATAACTTATTAGATTAATTTAATTATTTGATTTCAGTCTATAAAATCAGTTGCAATATTTTTCCTGCTTAATGTCGACTATTTTTTTTATTATCATAAAGGGTATACAATTCAGAACTGATAGTTTTTATAAATAAATTATTCAGAATTTATTTTGTTTAAATAAAATACATTTTTCATAACTTATCGGATAAATAAAAAATGTAAAGTTTTTTGAACCCTAAAAATTATTCCATACCCGTAAAAATTTTTAGGGTTTACCTTGTAATATTTATTATACCCAAACATATGATATTAATAGTAAATGACTTTCACATATTTAAAAGTAAAAAGTACAGCATCAAAGCAAAAAGTTCACAAAACGCACAGATTCTTATATTATATATGAGTAATTATATTTGTATGAGTAATTATATTTGTACGGAGTAAATAATTTATCGTTGACCACTAGATTTCTTCTTAAATAACAATAAGTTAAAAAAAAAGTTGGGCTTATTAATTAGTATATATATCTTGATTTTTTAGTAGTTAAAAACTTTTTAGTTAAAACCCCTTATCCCTTATAAAGGTACTAACTTAATATTTTTGAATGCTAACATACATCAATAATCTGCTTTGTTACTAGGTAGTGGTCTAATTAAGAAAATAGATGGGTCGATAACAATTTTGGACCAGTATTTCGAAAATTATTAACACTTTTATAATTAAACAAAAGGAGAAGTGCAGCCAACAAATGTCTAGTGATAAAAATATCATAATTTGCATTTCACATCCAGACCACATTTAAAAATATTAATAACTTCCGAAATACTGGTTTATAGTAGTTATCCACCAGTTATTTTCTTAAATCATTTTCTATCATTTAATTTAAGTTGACATCCTTATAAGGTGTATTAGATGAACCGAAAAATTATTCAAACATTTATAATTCATAAAATAAATAATACTAAACAATATAATAATAAAAAATTGTTAAACTTATTATTATTCTAGGAGAATTTTAATAATAGTCTACTAAAATGTTAATAATTAAAATACAATCACGTTGAATATAACTAAAAATTATAATCTTATGTTTAATTTAACATTCATTATCATGCATAGAGGAAATAATAACTGGTGTAAAACATGATAATTCTAGGACACAAACACATTTAACTGAATCGTTATATAATTTCATCGCTTATATAACAGTACGTATCTGAAAATTTGACATGATGAGATTTTTATTAATAATGATAAAAGAAGTTTTACTGAACATTTTTTGTGGAAGTCATAGTTCTATTGATAGTTATGAGTATAAAATCAACTCTTGTATTAAAATGTGTACAGTTTAAATTTGTTTTTTAAGCATCCTGAAAACCTAGAAAAACTGTTATAGTATACAAAGACGATTTTATCTACTACACGGTATGTATTAAAAATATAAATTGTATTAAGCTTGATAGATGCATTATTAAGCAACACAAGTGTTTTCCGTAATTAAAATTAAAAATTATTTGGCAAATACATATATTGTTGGCACTTAATATTTATTAATTCTACCAAGCTTTTTCAGACTATACAATTTAAACCAACTATCGCCATCTATTGTATAATCAAACAAACATTAGAGTCAAATAAAACTNTAATCAAACAAACATTAAAGTCAAATAAAACTATTAACACACCTAAATAAAAAAAGAATTAACATGTTTGTGTGCACTTAATTTTACAAGGTTCTATGATGTGTAATATTATTTTGATACTTGGTTGAATTTGGACGTCTCGTTGGCGACTGCCAGTGACATATCGACGCCGCTGAGGCGTATAATAGTTTACTTTTGTTTGCATGGCCCTTGCCGTAAAAACCCATAAATGAGTTCATACAGCTGCACGTACGGATTAGCAATATACAATGTATTACTTATCATTGTTTGTTTACAAATCAATTCCCGTACCGCGTTGTAAAGGACATCTTTCTTTTTAATTAAATAACGTATATTATCACATAAAATTTTTATTACCATGATTCATTATAACAGACCTAAGAGCCCTCTGGGGTTTCATCAGCTTTTGACAATCCGTCGAAGAGCCACTTCTAATTTTCCACCTCAAGCGTTCAGACTTAAGTGCTCAGCTTCACTCTTTTACTTTGCGGCCTTTTTATTTGTCTTACTTTGTGACTTGGTGTCTTTATTCTTAACATAATTTAATAGTTTAACTTAATGTAAATTCATGCTTGAATAACTATCAATTATAATACTTGCTTATATAATAAACTGTTTTCCATTTATTTAACATCTAATAAATCTAATTCACCTTCATCTCCTCTCTACACCGTAAAACAAGATTCGCAGTCAAGATATATCAGGTAAGAGTAGTTTAACACACTAACTACAATTAATAGTAATAACTAATAAAAGACACTCTAAACTTTAATTTATTATCTTCTTCTTTCGCTTAAATATATCTTCGTTCTAACTTCCCACAAATAACGATCACTTCTATTAATTTATTTATATTATCTAACTTCACCATCACTCTCTCACTCTCTCCCNCATTACTGAAACTCTGATGGCTAGTAAAACTCATAAAAAAACATAATACAATTTAAAACTACTTTCTTTTAAAATAATTTTACAATTAAAATTTGTTAAAACTTACCACCTCTAAATATTCATAATATAAGAGGTTAACAGAGAAATTTATTACCTGTTAAATAAATCTCAGGAGATGCATATTAACAAATGAAATATTAAATACCTTTTTAAGAATTGAAGTCACGTATATTATAAACAAAAGATAAAAATATGTTTTAGATAATACTTTATTTATCTTAGTACATAAATTATGAGTGAGAAGTTCAATTTGTTTAACCTTGTTACTTTTTTCTTAGTTATTATTACATTTTTCCAGAGTAAATTTATCAAAAACGAGTCATTAAAATAGTTAGTGTACTATATAACTTGTTTGGCGTAAATCGATGCTTGAAAACAAAACTATTATTTCTTATGTTATAAACACATTTGCATAATAATAACAAAAACAGTTTCGATATTTGAATTTTAAATTAAGACAAATATAAGGTTTTCCATGAAATATTACTCTTTTGATTAAAAAACAATCTTCAATATTATGTAACTGACATCCAATATTTTATTGTCCCAAAAATACAAGTTTATTTAAATATAGATCGTTTATTTTTATTAAAACTATATAAATACATAAAATTAAGCAGTTTATGTTATTATATAAAGTAAAATGTTGAAATATAGTCTGAAACACCTTTACATTACTATCTAGACCAGTCTCAATTTAACTAATAATAATTAAATTAACAATGTTTGTTTTGTAAACAAAATAAAATCTTTAATAAATTAAAAATCAGTTTGGAAGGCTGGCAATAATGTTAACTGGCATTCCTATAAACTAATTGTTCGTGCAATCGAGAAACCTCAAAGAAACAATTACAATATTTAAAAAAATAATAAGAAATTTCAAGGATGGTTTGAAATAGGGTTTTAAGTAGATTTTTTCATATAAGTTTTGTTTACTGTTTTAATTAATAAGAAATGGTAACGGATGCTATTTTTTCGTGTAACATCATTACAAGAACGAAAAATATATGCGTAAATTATCAGTATGCATTTTGATTATCCATTGGAATAACATTTTTTATTCTTATAAAAATTAAAAATGAACAATTTGATAGTTATCTTACTTGGTATATAGGTGTAAAATGGAGATAAATATATCTTAATCCAAAACTTTAGTTGAAGTTTGTCATGATACTTTTTGATTATTTTTAATTTAATTTTTATTTAATAACTTTTAGTATAAAAATTTCAACATACTCGTGAAGGGAACATTTAAGATGCTTTATATTTTTATCATATTATAATATTATTAAGTTCTTATTGTGTGTATACAAAAAGAATACATATTTTTCGAAAAATATATGATCGATTGACGAATAATGTAATGCAAAAGATTTGTATAAAAAATGTTTAAAATTAAACATTTGAATTATTTAAGCAATCATTATTAACAGAATTTGAACGGTGCCTTACTCGTTTATATGACAGGAGCAATTCCGTAAATTGGAACCGGAACAAAGCAATGTGTAAAGCACTTTTGTTACATTACATAATAATGTACTTGTCCGGCGTAAATACTTACATTGTCGGGTTTAGTCTCATCATGTTGGAAAAGTCTGACACATATTCCCAAACGTCCTTAGGTCTAGTATTAACCATGTCTGCACTAACAAACTTCACCAGGTACTCGCGCTTACCCATCAAGACCAGTGCCAAAATGACAGTTATACAACTATAGATTATTGTTCTGCGAAAACGGCTAGCGCATAGCTATAATTAAACAAGCAATTTTAATTCAAAGAAACTCATACGAGATTGATTTTAAATATGTATCTATATGTGAATTTGTTATGAATAATACTTTTTTGACGTTACCTTAAAATAATGGATAAAGTTTGTCATCATCACACTTCGTCTTTCAATTGTGACTGCCTAGTGGACATAAAGCCGTTAAACGGTCAAATGACTAACATTAAATATGCCGATCGAATAAATATGCTATCATCCGTAATGTGACGATAGTGTATTCCGGTCGGTTGTCTAGCATAATCGACAAAATATAAAATTTTATTCGAATATATAAATAATAAATGTACACGTGATAAACCAAAACTAAAAGTTAATTTTTACTTTGAGTTAATAGTATATGATGTACTCTCACCGTAAAGATATACGGATATGTCTAGTAACACTAAGAACATTTTTAAATAACCATTTTTTTCCATTAAATATTTTTTTTTAGTAACCAAGAGTACGTGCCTGTACAACTTACTATATTCAAGCATACACATAACTTAACAACATGGAATACCTCAAGTTCAAATCAGGAACAGGTAGCATACCAATCGTTGGATACGGTACCTGGCAGGTGAGGGTTATACTACATGATTACTATCTAATTTTACGTGTAATACTACTAAAATTTACCTAATTGTCTCTATTTTCTAAATAATAACCTACACAGGTTGGATCGCACAAACAAAATGTATGTAAAAAAAAAAATAATAATAAATTTTGTGATTTTTACATGAATGTTATTTTAATTATATAAAAAAAATTGATTACTTGTGGCTAATTAATTAAATAAAATTAAAACTATAATAAAAATTGTATTCATTTTATTTAATTATTTTAGTTAGTCTGTCAAATAATTAGTCTTTGATTCGCTTATTGAGCATGTGACCTTAAAATATTCTTTAAATTGATAATTTTGTTAGTTAATTATCAGTTTTAGTTAGTTAAAAGTAATTTGATTTCTTTAATAGAATTTAAAATAATAAGAAGAAAATATTTTTCTAAAGAAAAAAAATTATAATACATTTACATTAAATACTCGAAATATCACTCGAATAGTTATATAATTATACAACTCTAGTATAATTTTAGCTTCAATGAGAAGCTAAAGAGGTATTCATTTTTCTATGATGTGTTTTGTTATATTTTTAATTTCTGTCATTACTTTTTTATCATCTCTCGCCGGACTGATTTCTTTCGGAATGATACATCAAAAGATCTCAAGTCGTATCTAGATGAAAACATTGCCTTTAAATACTGAAAATTTTCTCTGTAAATTTCCCAAAAATTTATGATTTCTAAAATCGGTAATTATTGTCATTTTTAAACTTACTTTTCTTAATACAATCATAACTTTTTAAAAAATGAACGATTCAAAATAATTTGGTTTTTTATATATATTTTTGCGTATTTTCATTTCATTTAATATACGTTCCAATGTATTCAAAGCGCATTATAATATGATTGATAACTACTATTCAATATTCAACGATATTTTTGTATAAGATTACTTATGAATCGTTATAATCATTGACATTGATAAAATGAGAGACTTGAAATTCAACTTTTATTCTATTGTGTATTAAATCGGTAAGAAATTCTTAACGTTATCTATTATTGTTTAGGTTTTTTTTGTTTATTACTATTATTGTTATTACTTGGTTCATATATTCTTACATTATCATAATTTACGTTTAACAATTTAGTGATAATATAATTTGTCTGGTTAAGTTTTACGATTATATTGGAAAAGGAACATAAATATTAGATTATATTTTAGCCGGACCTGTTGTAATTTCACTTATGATTTTATCCATTGATGCGTTATGGAATTTCATTTTAATCAGATATTTTTTAATATTTAAAAATTAATTAAGCTCTGAGTTCCTCCAGTTTTTAGATTCTCTTAAAAGTGTTGTCATAACTTATGACTGTATTGTATTTAGCATTTATAATTGTTATTTAAAAAGAAAGTTATTATTGTTCATTGTAAATTGACATTTTTTAATGGGTCAATTGAAATTACTATTGTATCAAAAATATTTATTTTAAATTTGATAACAAAAGACGTGTCATATTTATATTTTGGCTCTTGGTAATTATTTAAGGCATTGAATAATGAATAGAATATATCAATAACAATAATGCTGTTAAATTAACCTATATGTGGTTTTATTGCTTTTTAATACAATGGAATAAACTATGTCAAAACCATTAATATATTTCGATAACTAATTTATTTTAAATTTGTAATGAACTACTATTGGTTAATAATCCACGAGGTGTTATAATCATTTATGGTCCGGTAATCACATCTAATAAGTGTGACACCTTGCCTAGGTGGTGGCGACCCTTTTTACTAAAGCCAGTCGTTATGCAAGTGGTAAACCACGTTGTTCTTACAGAACGATAAAAAGCACACGTGTAGAATTCTGACTGGGCCATCATTTTGCATAGGCGGCCCAACTCTATCCTTGAAAAAATAGTGACATAAAAACAACAAACATGTGCACTTAAGCACGGTTAATGACAGAAGGACAAGAGTCAACAACAATCTCACGGTAATTTTAAATCGACAACGGGCAGTCATTTTGGGAGGGATCAATACCGTTAAATAATTCGATTTTAATTATATTAATTCTCTTTTGTTGCCTTATTATGCGGTAAGCAATGAATTGTTGACACCGCTGTGTCAGAAAAAGATTCATTCACACATTTTCTTGGGTGATATAAAAAAATAAGTAGATTTAACAAAAAATTATATGCCATCGAATTTATGACGTTACATGCATTTTCATACAATAAAATAAACTATGTCAAAATCATTAATATGCACCATTATAAATATGTTTCGAAAAGTAATCAATCATAATTTGTATTATTTAATTTCGAGAATCTATGTTACGTTATTTTCGCTGTAAACAGTTGTATCATATTAAAAAAAAACCCAGCACAGTGGGGTCGCGGCACAGTGGTGACGTAGCATAGATGGATAAAGTATAATGATAACTGACAGTGATTAAAATCACTATCAAAAATAAACGCTTCGATGCAAATCTTTAGATAGTGTTTAATTTTAAAAAAATTGGTGTTTTATTCCAAAAGCTACTTGATCTGCTGGTTCCTTATTAATATCTCGATTAAGATAAAATATGTCAAATGAAAAAGGGTTTATTAAAAAATATTATTTCTCATAAAAAAATTGTGTGGATACATACACTTTTCAATAAGTTATAGCATTATAAAGTTAAATATAATATAAAAAATAAAATCGAGAATTTTCACACGAAAATAGCATTCGATAGCTATTTTCGCCGTGAAGACAAGTCCAGAGGTGAAATTTTTTTTTTTTCAAATTAAAGTATATTACATTAGTTTTAATTTAAGATATATATAAAAGTGTCAGACCTTCCGGAACATTTTCAAAAGTTAAGTTGAAAAAGTTAATTTTTTGTGAAAAAGTTGTCAATTTAATTCCCCCCCTGTGGGCAGATAAAGGGTCAGATTTACAAAAAAAATATACCAAATGATAGGTAAAGACATCAAGTATCTACAAAGAAAAAAAGTTATATTCATATGTTCATTTTTGAAAAAGTTAGGCAGTTATTAGTAAAAAAAATTTCAAAAATTTCGAAAATTAGCGATTTTTAAATTTGTAATTTTTTTGGAGGTTTCCCCCATTTACGGGGAACGAGGGAAATTTTTTCAATTTTGAAGGGTAATGTCTTCGACTAGATACGATTTGTGATCTTTTGACGTATCGTTGAAAGAAATCCGTTCGGTGAGAGCAGAGAAAAAGTGGTAACAGACACAAAAAAAAATAAATAAATAAATAAAAAAAATAAACACATCATAGTAAAACCAATACCTTCTCAGCTTCGCATCGAAGCTAAAATGATGTCAAAATGTTTTAGTAATAATTTATTTGGACATTTTAGGCAAAAGATAATGAACTTAAAACAGCTCTAAATGAAGCATTAAAATCTGGATATCGGCACATCGATACTGCTACCGCATACGGCAATGAGCATGTTATTGGTGAAGTATTAAAAGAATGGTTTGTATCTGGTCAAATTAGCAGAGAAGATGTTTTTATTACTTCTAAGGTATAGAAACATATATATTTTTTTAAGGTTCAATTTAATTATATATTATAACTCTATTGTATACTAATAACATGAAATGAAATATATTTTTATAATTAAAGCTTCCATCTTTTTTTAATCGACCTGAAGACTTGGAAAAAACGATAGAAAAAAGTTTCAAGATTTGCAGTTGGACTATCTTGACCTATACTTAATTCATGTACCATATAGTTTGATAAGTAAAGTTCTTGGCGACTACACAACAATGGAATTGGATACATCAACAGATCATATTAAAATTTGGAAGGTAAGATGATTACTATGGTAGCATTTTAAAATCGATTTTTGTTACAGAAACTTATGAAGATGAAATAAGATTTCATACGAAATGATTGATTAAAACAATTCTTTTTGCTAAAAATAATTATTTATTATGAAATCCAATGACTTCATACTCAATACTTCATATCTATAAGTTTCTATTTAGTTGTATATATAAAAATAATAAGTGTTAAAAATGTAAAGCTGAGAAGGTTAAGGAAATCCCTTTTAATTTACTTACTATATTTTTATATAGTTATTGTAATTATGGGATTTTATGATTATGTAGCCGCTATATTGTTCACAATTAAATTTTATCATATATATCAAACTATTTTAAGTTTGAAAATTATTTCTTTATAATTTTAGTCTATGGAAGAACAAATAGACAAAGGACGTGCAAAAGCTATTGGAGTGTCAAACTTCAATATCAAGCAGTTGAAAAGAGTTTTAGACAACAGTAGAATAAAACCAGATAATCTTCAGATCGAACACCATTTATATCTACAGCAGCCTGAACTAATTGCTTTTTGTAAAGAAAACAATGTTACTGTCACAGCATATTCGTGTTTAGGTACNATATCTTATTAATATTCAGTAGTAAATATTCTGTAGAGTTTTAAAGTTTGTGAAAATTTGAATTTTCATGTATTATTTTACCGGTATTAAACATTGGAATACGTATTGAGAAAAGGACAGAAGAAAACGCTATCTTAACCTAACGTATAACTATTATTTAAAAAAAAATCAACTAAAAATATTAATTGGATCCAAAGTTATTTAAGTTGTCAGTGAATGATGGGCCACTCTGTATATCA